ACCGCTGCTGCTGCTGCTGCTGCTGCTGCTGTTGTTGTTGCTGCTGCTGCTGCTGCCGAGTCAAGCAGCAGGCGTTCTTCCTTCAGTGTGTCTATTGTCTTCTCTTGTTCAGACGCAAGTAGAAACCCTAAACCCTAAACCCTAAACCCCAAACCCTAAACCCTAAACCCCACGACACGCCCGCGAGCTGCCAAGCAGCTGAGGGCTTCGGTGCCGTGCGAGACGCAGCAACGGCCACCCTAAACCCTAAACACTAAACACTAAACCCTAAACCCTAAACCCTTTTTCCCCGTTACAATGAAATAAATAAAATGGGAAGGAAGATCCTAAAAAGACACCCACAGAAGCCTCGCTCCGAGCCCAAACCCTAAACCCTAGAGCCCAAACCCTAAACCCTAAACCCTACCGAGCCATGACTGCTGTATGCATTGCCTCGGGCGCGCAACTAGGGTTTAGGATTTAGGGTTTAGGGTTTGTGTTTACGTTTAATTACTCATTTGTTATCTATTTTTCACTCCGCTATCCTTGAGCCTTGCCTCTATCGCTGCTTCTGCTGCTGGTGCTGCTGCTGCTGCTGCAGCTGGACCCCCCGCCGCCGACAGCTGCAGCAACTGCAGCAGCAGCAGCACAAAGACAACCTTTTGTACCCTTTGGGGTGGGGCCCCCTGGGGCCCCATGGAATCCGCAGCGGTGCCCTTGGCTGCAGCAGCGGCAGCAGCAGCAGCAGCAGCAGATGCAGCAGTAGTAACAGCTGCAGCAGCAACGACAGATGCACCAACAGCTGCAGTAACAGCAACAGATGCAGCAACTGCATCAGCAGCAACAGCTAGCCCTGCTGCTGCGTCGCAGGAAGCTGCTCCATACGCAGCAGCAGCAGCAGCGACAGCAGCAGGACCAGAAACTGCAGCAGCAGACGCAGCAGCAGAAGCTGCAGCAGCAGAAGCAGCAGCAGCAGCAGCAGGTGTTGCTCCATTTGTGCTGGTAAAGGATTTGCTGCCGCAGAGTGGCTGCTGCTGCTGCTTAGTGCGCGTGCTGCAGTATCTGTCCCACAGTCTTCTCAAGTTGCCCTCAGGTAAATCCTAAACCCTAAACCCCAAGCCCTAAACCCTAAACCCTCAGGGCTAGCTGGTATTTCCGCAGCAGCAGCTTTCAGAAAAACCCCAGGCTGTGGGGCAGCAGGTGCCGGGCGTTGAATGAGGCTGGCCAAAAAGACCTGTGGCTGAGGGTTAAGGGTTTAGGGTTTAGGGTTTAGGGTTTAGGGTTTAGGGTTTGGGCTGCGCAGGGTCGCTCGTGCAAACCACTGAGGCAGTTGTGGCTGACGAGACAGGAGCGGTTTTGCTGCTGCTGGAGACAGACGCGCAGCGCCAACTTTGCCAAGTAAACCCTAAACCCTAAACCCTAAACCCTCGAAGCCCTAAACCCAAACCCTCAAGGCCCCAAACCCTAAACCCTAAACCCTAACTGCCGAAGGCGGCAGTCAGAAGCCTTAAGGTGTCTTCACAAAAGGCTCGGGTGCTGCTCTTCAGGGCCCCGGCTGAGGCCTAGGGTTTAGGGTTTAGGGTTTAGGGTTTAGGGTTTAGGGTTTGGATGTGTTTCAGCCCGGGACAGAAGTGCTGCTGCTCAACGTGACGGTCAGCTGCGTCGGGGGTTTTGTGTGTTTGCTGCTGCGGGGAGGAGAAGCAGCAGCAGTAGTCCGCAGACCCGCTGCTGCTGCTGCTGCTGCTGCTGCTGCTGGGGCCGGCCCTCCTC